GCCTTTGCCAGATGTATTTAGAGACATTGTAGTGAACTAACACTTAGAAATCGTATTGCTTAGAAATCAGAAAATGTCACTGAAGGACAATTAAAATTGGATGATTTTATTAAGAAATATAATCAGAAATGTTTGCTGTGATAATTGACCACCAATTTCTGTGATTCCAGTCTATGGAAGTACATAATGATATTCCTTATTTTGTAAAAAATTTTAATGAAGCCTTTATGTGTCATATCCTTGAATTCTGTATTAATATTGGCTATGAAAGTAAATATTGATATGCCCTCGTATTCTGAAAACATTTCTAAGGAAACCTTTGTGTTTTATTTTCTTTATCCTTGAATTTCTGTATGAATATTAACTTAGCTGTCAGGTAATCACCACTTTACTTGTGATTAGGTTTTACTACTTAATGGAATTAATGTTTGCCAGTACATACTGCTCAAAATGTCACTGCATGTTTTTTTTCATATAAAGTAATGGTAATGTCACAATGCAGTTTACATTGATATAGTTTTGAATAACCTTATATGAATTGAAAAAAGAAGATTAAAAAAGATAAAGCAAAAAACAAACTAATATACAATACTGTAATCCCAGCAGTTGGGTATTTCTTTGACTACAGATATAATTAATGAGCTCTAATAATTTATTTGAGCTTATTTTGTCAGTATGTGCCCTTGGGTTAAAATAGTCCTTCTGTCTTTTAAATATATTGAGACAGATGTGACTTGAAGTGTCTTATTTTTTCCTGTGGAAAGGCTTAAAGACAACATATTTCCTTGAAATTGCTATCTGCTGTACTGCATTCTAATATTTTAGAAGTTTAAAAGTTTAAGATAAAAATATATTTAAGTAAATTAGAATGAATAAGTAGATTCCTGCTCAGAAACATTTAAAAACTGTAAATATTTATTTTAGTGCAGCTATCTTTGACACATACTGTATATAGGTTATTTATACAGGCTGTACAGACCAGATATTTTACCATGGTGTCTGAATGTACTGCTTTAGATCTGAAAGCAGGTTCAGTGTCCTGAACATGTGTATGCTTTACCCTGCATTATGCATATTATTAAGGTAATAGGATTGGACTTGTTTCCGGCACCTGTTAAGTTAAAGTTAAGTTAAGGTCAAAGTTGGTGCCTGAACTTGTGTAACAGGTTTATTTCGACGTTAGAATAGCATAGTAGTAGCCCGATCACCAACATGGGTGCTAGAACTGGCCTTGGCTGAAGATCTCGCATCTTGTCTCTGATAATACCAGTTTGGGGCTTGATTTCCCTTCTGTTGCCCTTTAATATCTGGCGTATTGCAAAAGACGACCTTTGTTACCCTCTAGCTATTGTTTGCAGATTGGTTGCATATTCTGTAGGCTGTGAAAGACACATCTGCTCCCTCAGTCAGCAAGAAAACTCCGCTGTACAGCAAAAAGCTGGAAGTGGAGGGGTTCCTGATCTAGAGATAGAAGCAGAATCTCTCTCTACTTATCAAATATTTGTCTGGCCTTCACAAGCTATTTGCCTTTGTCTGTTTGCTTTGGTTATTTAAGTCTATTTGAGTCAGATAGAGACTATATTATAGAAGATTGAGTCGCTGGGGAAATTATAGTTATTTTTTGCATGATGTACCTTATGAAAGTGTTTCGCACTGTATTCTTTCATTAGTTTTTTTTCTTTTTATTCTCAAATAGATCTTCAGCCATGCGATTAAATTATCTGTGGCCTCTTAGAAGTGTCTGATTATATTTTACTAATAGGAGTCTTTAAAATATACAGTATCATGGCTTCTTTTAAATCTTCTTTTAAATATGAAATTTCTTCAAATAAGAAGGAATGCATATGTGGTTTAGCCTCAAATCTTGTTTTTCATTGTGAGACTTTGTCAGTATTTTCTGTGAATTCTGACATTTGCCTGCATTGTGCCCATAGTATATAATGCTGACCCTGGTGAATTGAGCAAGCAGTGTCGTGAGACTGGTTGTTGTTCCATGGCATTTTTAAATAATTCTCTGTGGGAACTTCCGATGAGCATTCTCATTTTTTCTGGAAACAACACCAACAGAAGCTTATCGTTCACACAAGAATCCAATTTAACATTCAAGCAATCCTTAGAAAAGAGCAAGGTTTATTTAGGGATCATAATGAAAATTGTTTTGGAATTTAGAATCGGCGTGCTTTATTTTATATATATACTGTATGTTAAGATTTTGTGATTATGACTGAAGTAAAGAGCTTGCTGATTGTGTCTGTGTGAATGTTGTGCAGCTATACAAACTGAACACAGTGAGAGAAAGCACTTACTGTATATTTTCACTGTAAACCAAAAGCAAGCAAAACCAAAAATCCAGATAGTCAAGGTTATGGTTTTTGTCTCTTAATAGAAACTAAACTTCAAGATGGCTTTCATAGGGACCTTGTATAAATGATTTTTGTACGATCATGATTTAATTTTTAGGACTTGAGTATCTGTTCATACCTTTGTCAGAGAACAAAAC